TCGGACAGGGCAAGATATGACAAAATACCAATTTATAAACTATCAAAGGCTCATGAGGGAGGGGGGAGCGGGGAGGGAGGGGAAAATGAGGACCTGATGCCGGGGGCTTAAGTGGAGAGCAAACGTTTTGAGAATGATGAGGGCAGTGAATGTACAAATGTGCTTTACACAATGGATGTGTGTATGGATTGTGATAAGAGTTGTATGAGCCCCTAATGAAACGATTAAAAATGACAAAATAATTAAAAACTGTACAAAAACAAACCAAAACCAACACACACACCGAGAAAAGGGAAATTGGCTTTCAGACCAACGGAAGCAGATACTGGAAGGTATGCAGACATCTGGGGACGGTAGGGAGGGAATGGAAGGAGGAGGAAAATAAGTAAACAACTAACTAACTTTTTTTTTTTTAAAGCTAAAGTCGCTGCCTCCATTTAAGGCTAGCTAGGGTGTGGAACTTCAATGTACGGTAGAAGGTAACAGACTGAGAGCTGAAGAACGCTTCACCCTGGGGCTCTCCCCTCCCAAGCCGCTGTGTCTCTGCACCGAGGAAGACAATTGAAACCGCTGCCGGCTAGGAAGACAGACGGAAGGGGTGAAGTCCAGCAGGAGGTGGCAGCAGATTGGTCAGGGGCACCGATGAAGGAAGGGCTTTGTAGCAGGCAAAGCTGGGGGATGGGTGTGGATGCCCTTGGAGGCCGGGCCAGGCAGTGTGGAAAGATCTCATGACCTCCTGGTCCCCGCAGCGACCTAGTGGAGAGCAGTGGCTGGAGGGCTCCAGCTTGAGAAGGAGGGTGGAGGCTGTACCAGCTGGTTTGCCAGAGGTTAAAGGGCTTTGCCAAGAGGGTACTGTGGGCCCAGCTGCGGGTGCAGAGAGGCCAAGACCCAGGGTGTTGGATTGGACCTCCCCCAGCCCCCACCCAGGTGCTGCTCAAAAGCGCAGGTTTCTCAAAGGGAAAGGTGCACGGTAGCACTGATCTGGGCTTGAGAAAACGATAGGGAAGGGATGTAAGGGGAGATGAAGAATTAAGGGGGAGCGTGGTGCAGATGAGCAGATGCCCAGGTAGAAATGGAAGACAGGAGACAGGGATGAGGGGCAGTGGGAACATGGAAGGCCCTGGAGGTATCCAGGAGCGGATGAGGAGTGTGGTGGGGGGAGAGCCGTGGAGGGACAAGAGTGTGTGATCAGAGGCTGGGCAGAGTTTTGGGAGTTCAGAAACACGGCAATTCCCAATGATGACTCCCATACCAACCAGTTCCTGATTTCTAATTCCCCACAGTGGCCAACCCCATGGGATCAAGGATTAAACACACTTTTCCACACTGAGAAAATCTACTTCTGCTTGGATTTGAGATCTTAGAAAGCAACATTTATATGACTCATCCAGAGATTAAGAAGATAATAATTAATATCCAAGAGTGCTTGGGTCCGTTTATTACTTGTACCCTGGTAGCTATGCTTCCTCAGGGCCAACATATTTAGGTTGCAGGGTCCTGGGATCCCACGGGCTGTCATGGCACTGCAGATAACCCCGGTAGGAAGCTTACCTTGACAGTGTAGATCTGGAAATAGATGGGCTGGGTGCCCATGCGGATATAGTAGGTCATGGCATCGAGGATGAAGGGGTCCACAGTCTGGGATGTATCCCAGCAAGGAGGCTGAAAGTGAGGCAGAGAAGGTCTTCCGTCAGCTCTCTCCATGCGGAAGGTGCATGCTCTTATGGGAGAAACCCCCAAACTCCCAACATTCTCCCCTGGAGTGCACTAATCCAGCTGGTCCTTCAGAAACTCCAAGTCTTTCCTCCCACCTCGCTTCTACCTCCTCCCACCCAGAGCCTCATCTTCCTGATTCAATTCTACAAATAAATACCGAGTGTCTGTGTACATGCTAAATCCTGTGCCAGGGCCTTTGAAAAAGACAAGACGCTTGAACATGCCACTCACGATGAAAGAGCCGGAACTGGGTCCTAGGTTTGTTCTAGCTACTCACTAGACCGAGGACCTTGGACAAGTTACTCAACTCTTCAAAGCCCGAGTTTCGGGAAAAAGAGAGGTTGAACAAGATGAGAGGAAGTCTCTTTCAGCTCTGGTGGTCTCTGAACGGAATAATAAACTAATTACTATTTGCATGTGGCTGGGAAGGGACTAGTGCCTCATCCCCTCAGCCTCCCTCAACTCTATGATTATAAAGCATAAGCGAACACAACAGTTGGAATGAAATCTTGAGTTTATGTAGCCTACCCAATTCACACCCAATCCTGTACTCCCCTTTCTGACGCTCACACCGGCTCTATTGCAATATGGCTCAGAAAGGTCACACCGAGGGATGATAAATTTATTCCAATAGTGCTGCCATTGCTTAAAATGTTCCTGGTCTCTTTTTGTGGAAACTGCTTTGGAGTAGGCATAAAGGCCGCTCACACTGTTCATTATGCGGGGAAGGAGCATCAACCTCAAGTCCTGCATATGAATCCTGTTGGAAAAAACCAACAAAGGACACAAACGAGGCCTGCTCCAGAGCCTCCTCTTATAAATATATGTCACGTTCTGAGGGCAAGGCATTTCCCTACCCAGCTCAAGTGTCTGCCAGGTATACACAGATACGCACGCCACCATCCCGAAAATAGGCCCCCATAACACTTTGTTTGACTCGAAATATAAGAAGCCATGGGAAGGAAGCATGCAATAAAGCCACAGGGAGAGCTTAGAAAGGTGACAAGCTGAACTATAAACATGTATGTCATAAACCGACTGGCAATACGTACGAACCAAACATGATAGGAGTGAATTACCACTCACAAGGAGAAAAAAGGTCAGACACGAGGAACAGATTTAGGAAGAAATGGGCACAAGTATAGGTGATGGTTACGCTTTGGCTGTGACCCGTGTGGTCAGCAGTTCAAAACCACCAGCAGCTGCTTGGGAGAAAGACTGGGCTTTCGACTCCCATAATCACAGTAGCAGTCCTGGAAACCCACAGGGATCCTTGTGAGTCAGCAAGGACTTGATGGCAGGGAGTCTGGTCAGGGCTATACAAGACGACTTTAATCAATGAAGAGCGGTCCCTTTTCGGTGCAAAGAACCCTCATTCTCCTCCAGACTTTAATTAAAACTCCAATGTGGGTACACACATGAACAGCACCCCAGCCTGTAAATGAGATTCTAGAACTTATCTGGAAAGTGGGATACACATGCATAGCCTTGAAAGTATTGGGGGACCAACAGCAACAAAAAGAACAGTGAGGTGGGCTTACTCGGCCAGAAAGGACGATCACGTTAATTTGCGAAGGAATGAACAGGGCAACTAGACAAAAGTAGCTGCTATCTAGAGATGAACGCAAGAATCGGTCAGCATGTAAGACGTGCCAAAAGTGGCATTCAAATGGATGGAGCAAGATGGCTGACGTAATAAGCAGTTTTAGGACAACTGGTTAAACGCTTGTCCCAACCCAAACACGCACACACCCCTTTCCACGAAACACAGAAATTAATTGCAGGTGGGTCAATGATTCAAACGGAAAATTCAGAACGATGAAAGGGTGAGAATACAGTGTAGGTGAGTACGTACTGAGTATTGGCGTGGAGGAAGCCTGTGACAGGTGAGAATCATAAAGAATACGTGGCTGCTAGGCAGAATCGACTGGACAGCACTTAACAACAGCACCAACATATGCTGGACCGTGGGACCATGTTACAAAGGAGCCCTGGTGGCACATGGTTACATGTTGAGATGCTCACCCCAAGGCCAGCAGTTCAAAACCACCAGCTGCTCCTTGGGAGATCGACGGGGCTTTCTACTCCCTTAAAGAGTTACAGTCAGAGCGTCTCAGGGGCAATTATCCTCTGGGCTATCGGGTGGCTATCAGTCAGCATCGGGTGAATGTCAGTAAATTTGGTTTGTTTAGGGGAAAGATATTAAAAACCAGCTGTCAAGTTGATGCCAGTTCCTCACAAGCCTGGAAAGAAGGCGGAACTGCCAGAGTGGGTTTCCCAGAAGATTCTCACTCTTAGAGGGAGAAGAAAGCCTCCTCTTTCTCCTAAAGATATATATATATATTTCTTATATCTTGTAAATATCATATATATCTTATATCTTATAAAGATATATATCATATATCTTTAATATACAATATAATATATAATAATATATCTTTAATATAGTGTATCCTCTTGTA